GTCGCAGATCAAAAGGGGCGGATTCTTCATTTAGAATTTAGATTTCGGAAGAAGACTTTCATCTGTCAAACTTCTAATTTTGACATTGAAGAAAATTATAGAAAAGGACGTGTTCAGTTTCACCCCAAAAGTACGAACTAAGAATCGGTTGTGTAAAAAATGACTGGTGAATGTTGAAAAGTGCCTATAGAACATATATAAAAAGGTAGAACAGGTCTAAAGAAAACGCCTAGACAAAACAGCTGTTCAATGACATGATGGAAATGAAAAATCAAAAAGTAAACAACAATTATTATGATAACCTCAGATTATTTATTTATCAATTAGATTTGCAAACAGAGATGATAAAAAGATCTCTCCTTTTCCTAAGATTCTAATCAATAACAGCGGGCCCTGCCGTACTGAATCAAACCTTCCCAGATCAATTAACAAAACTTGCAAACCTGAACCAAAAAAAACTTCTAGTAGAAGGCAGCACTCAAGGTAACAAAATCTGGGCACAAAAAAGATAGTTGTTTATTCATTTATTTCATTGTAGTTCTATATGGAATCATATCTACTAAAGCAAAACAATGTAGCTTATTAGCCAAGAAATTGAAAACGTTACACTGTTTTGATCATGGTGTCTTATTCAACATTAAAGGAAGCAGAAATCTTTTCAGGTACAAGGGCGAGATAAAGTCCTGGTTGCACTCTGATAATTTAGGAAGTGACAATATTCCTATATTCTTGGTACGCACCCTGTAAACTACGGTTATATGATATCTTATATCCAAGGTATTGCGCACGTTTCAGAATTTCAACGTAGCTGTATAATACCCAATGTAAATATAGGTATTTGCATGAAAGTAGATGGAATAGGGGGGTAGACCCCTGCGCTGGCGCTGACCTACTTTCCGTGACCTACTTTCACCAGACGGCCCCGCTTGCCCACCCACCAGTCGTCCGCAGCGAATTTCCTACTGCCGCAGACCGCCCGCCCCATAAAATTCCGCCACGACAAATGACCACCACTGAAACAACTTTTTTTTTTGACCACCACCTCAGGCACCTCTGAATTAAGCACCGCCTTTAGTGGCTCTTTTGGGGTTAAGTTTAAAATTTTAAAAATTTCTCGGCTACTGGGCCACCACTGAAACAACTTTTTTGACCACCACTTCTGACTCAAGCACTACCTTTTTTTAGTTATGGGATTTTATCAGGCCTGGTACACCATGCAAGCCCAACCCACTTTTTTTCAGAGAGGAAGTATATTTTTTTTCCTCCGACTTTTGTAGAGGATATTTAATGTCTTGAAATCAGGTAAAGGACATCTCACACTTCTTATGGATTTCGGTCACCGACAGATTTTGTTGAAATTTTAGTATATTATTTTGGAAGTCGAAATAAGCATTTTCTTTCATTGCACCAACCTTGTAGCGATACAGGATGATACTAAAAAATTAGGTCAAAGTTTTTTTTCAAATATGTAATTTAACTCTGCTTATTAGAATCAGGCATTTTTTTGAATAAAAACAATACATATCCATAAAAGTGATATTTTATTTTAATTTCTAGCATGTACAGGGTAGTCCAATTTGGACACTTTTCATAGGAAAAGCTTCATAACTTTTTGATTTATGAAAATAATTGATTTCCGTAAAAACTTTCTTAATGATTTTTTTTTAAGCAAAATCCAGTGACATTCTCGGTTTTTTTGGTATTTTGCTAGGATTTTGAGATGTTGACCAGAGTCCGATATTTTAAAATAGAACACCCTATATTTTAATAAATCAGTAGATAGCTGATTTCAATATTATAAAGTTTGATGTTTAACGGTTTTTGAGAATGGAATTAAAATCTGTTTGTCATAAGAGCCATTATGTTAGAAAAGGAGTCTGTAAGAAAAATGAGAAAGGTGTCTTTCTAACACACTGTTTCTTATCCCACAAACGGATGTTTTTTTCTCGAAGACTATTGGCGATCAAACTATGGAACTTTACATCATTGAAATCAGCAAAAGCAGAGCTATCCAATGAGTTATTAAAATATAGGGTGTTCTGTTTTAGAAAAACGGACTTTGGCCAATATCTCGAAATTCTGGCAAAATATCAGAAAACTGAGAATATCACCACCTTGTACAGGGTGTCCCATCTTGTTGCATTTCGGGACACCCCTTGTATCTCGGTTTTCTCATAACTAATCGAAAAGGTGACAACGGGTTCTTATAGATCTTTCTACGTAGATTCCAGGCGAAGACAGCTTTTCTCTAGAAGTGATAGTTTTTGAATTATGAACGAAGCATACGTTTTTTTTCCACCAAATGAGACACGCTGTATAATAATAATTCATTGGATAGATCTGCTCCTGCTAATTCCAATGATATCAAGTGCGATAGGTAGGTAGATAGATCTCTATTATGTCTGTTTTTGTCAATTTGTCATAAGAAACAATGTATTAGAAGAGGACTTTATATCTGTAAGGAAAATGAGAAAGGTCTCTTTGTAACACATTGTTTCCTATGACAAAAACAGATTCTCGAAAGCTGTTGAAAATATACCTATATAGGTAGGTACCTATCAAACTTTATATCATTGAAATCAGCAAAAGCAGAACTAGCCAATGAGGTCTTATGTGAAAAAACGTATATTTGGCTCATAATTTAAAAACTATCACCTCCCAAACTAACTCCGCCACTGGAATCTACGTGAGAAGATCTATAAAAACCCGTTATTACCTTTTCAATCAGTTATGAGAGAACCGAGATACAAAGGGTGTCCCAAGATGCAAAATTTTCAAAAACAATTTGTATCTGAAAAACAAGAAGGGCGATGACAGTTATTACTTGTAGTTTCTCGGCGCACCAATTGTCTCCAGCATGAACTTGTTAAGTCGCACAAATATAATATGATGATACTGCTCATCAATATGTCTTTAACGAGCCACCCGCCATTTAAGCCGTGCATTCCAAAATCATACATACAGGTTAAGCGCAGATTCACAATTATCTGCCACTCAGCCTAATCATAGTTGACCTGCCACCAAGCGTAGGTCCCACAACTAACTGTTACAAAATGTTACTAAGCATATATTCCATCCTGACACGAAGCATAAATACCGGAAACACAGCATAGGTACACGACCTGACACAAAGCATAGGTACACGACCTAACACAAGGCATAGGCCTCACAAATACCTGACACAAAGCATAGGCAATAATCACGTTTTTAAAAGAGTAGTACTTATTATTATAAATTATTTCAAAAGGAAAAAAAATAGACGCCAATAATCCTTACTAGTCGACACCACGAGAATCAATCCTCTACCAACTATGTCTTTCAAACCTTCCCTTTGTTCAGTTTAAATCCCTCTTTTTTGCTTGCATTCCACGAGTGATATCACTGTTAGGTTTGGTAAACAAACACAGTACCTAGTACAGGCATCCTTCGTTCAACAAAAAAGTAGCCAGCGTTTGCGAAAACCGCATCTATCCAACTCAAATGGCAACCAAAATATCCCTTATGTACAGGGCGAGTTACTATATTTTAACACCCACCTGCAGCCGTAATTACAAGTGATAGGTAAAAGGTGTAGATAAAAAAGTTGTAGCATTTTATCTGAACCGCCAGAATTTTCAATTAGATTGAACAAATTAGTAACGCAAGTGAAAAAATATGTCGATGTTCACTTTTTTCAAATGGAATGCACTTTATTTTCTTTCAAATTCTTAAAGTTTTCGTTTTTATGGTTCAGATTATACATAATACCTATGTTAATGTTTCTTTCAATAGTTTTGGAATAATATCTGGAGTTTAGTTATTCAAAGACGTATTCAGGTATCAAAATGTTTTGTGACAAGTGACAGGTAAATCAAGGTAAAATATGTTCAAAAAACTCTAAACTTGAATAACTAAACTCCAGATTTTTCCAAAACTATTGAAAGAAACATTAACATATAATATGTATATATTCTGAATCAGAAAAAAGAGAACTTTAAGAATTTGAAAGAAAATAAAAGACATTCCATTTGAAAAAAGTGAATATCGACATATTTTTTCAGTTTGTGTTGCCTATTTCTAATTAAAAATTCTGGCGGTTCAGATAAAATGCTACAACTTTTGTAATTACACCTTTTACCTATCACCTGTAATTACGGCTGCATGTGGGTATCAAAATATGGTGACTCGCCCTGTACAGGGTCTGTTCCTTATAATAAGTGCAGCTTCTACAACTTAAACAAAACAAAAAAAATAGAAAAAGAAGTTAAACACAAAAGTTGTAGGGTTTTATCTCTATTATTATATCTTTTGCTAATGTCATAATGACAAACACTTGCATTTTTTAAATGGAACACCCTATATATTTTTAAGTAGAATGATAGATTTTTTCCTCGGATTCCAAATATACCATATGTTGATATTTGGTTCAGCTGTTTTTAAGCTTTTTAAGTTTAAAAATGCATTTACATTAACCTGAGGGTGAGGGTTGCTTAATACAATTTCGAAACAAGTTGTTCCATTTAAAAAATGCAAGTGTTTGTCATTATGACAGTTGGCACCTGTCATTTGCCCATTTTGACATGTGCGAAAGACAATAGAGATAAAACCCTACAACTTTTGTATTTAACTTTTTTTTCTTTTTTTTTTGTCAAGTTGTAGAAGCCGCACTAATTATAAAGAACAAACCCTGTACAACCAAAATGGGACACCCTGTACATGCTAAAAATTAAAATAATATCCATTTTATGGAATATGAAAAAAATTGCCTGATTTTATCTACCAAAGTTAAATTACAATATTTCACAGTAATAAAAATTGAAAATCTTTGACCTAATCACCCTGTATCGCTGCGAGGTCGGTGCAATGAAAGAAAATGCTTATTTCGACTTCCAAAATAGTATACTAAACTTTCAACAAAATCTGTCGGTGACTGAAATCCATAAGAAGTGTGAGATGTTCTTTTAGCAATAGTTCGATTTTTTTGTGCAGTGAATTTGTGAAATATCTAACAGAAAAAAAAAATGTCGAAACGAGTTATTTGTTTTACGTCAAAAAAAGTTGCAATGTCAACTTTAGATCAAACTATAACTTCGATGCATGATGATGGAGAGTTAATATTTCATGAAGATCAGAACAACAAATCAAGACAGAGAAGCAACATTTTAATCAGCATAGATAAAAACAACACACTTGAGGACGATGAGGATTCTGAAGATGAGGCAATTTGTGTAGACGAAATTGAGATCCCATCAGCTTGTGGTGAAAATGCCGATGTAGTTACGAAAGAAATTAACGCAAGTGATACAGTTTTACCAAATTATCTCATGAAACAGATTTGTGTTATTCAATCCTATGTTGTCATCGAATCAATTTATGGAGGACTGTACAGTTTGTGTTTGAATTGTCACTACTCCCATGGACTAGAAGTACCTATAGGAAAGCACAAATTTGTGAACACAAACTATCAAAGGAGATTCTATTGTTGTGAAAAAGACGATCTATGCTGTGCAATATGCAAATCCATACTTTTTTTTAAATTCTTACACCGGTGTGCATAATGTGCAATAAAAGTGAAGCTCAAAATATGAACAATCATACTTTAGAAAAGAAAAATTTAGAATAATTACTATTATGATGGGTACCTACCAATCAGGAGGACAAAGGATTAGACGAGATTTTTTACATTAGTTACATACGGCTCTACATTGTATATTTTATTTAATCAGCATATTATTTTTCATTAGCTTGCATTCTGTATTCTCTTTTTGTAGCTTCTACTTGCCGAGCGTCGTCAGTCAGAGCTTTGCATTCACTTTCGACGCTTCGAATTTTAATAAATTTTGAACGTAAAAATATTGTAATAGTTTTAAGTGAAATAAATTTGTTTTTAAAAAATCGTACATCGCGTACTGATTTGTAACTGGCGCAGTCGGTAGGATAGTCAGGAATCAATACATCGAGTATCGATTTATCGTGAAACGGTCAACTGGCTATCCGAAAGAACTTACGGTTCGGGATTTTGATTGAACATCAGAAACTTTCGGCCGTGACTACGAAAAGTGTTCGTGTGCGTAAAGCAATTAATTGGGGATTGTTTCGCGACGGCATTTTGAGAATTGATAACAAACTCTATCAATTCTGCGAGGACTTAGTGCTTTTGGACTTGGATTACAAAATTGCCACCAGAGGACTGAGGCCTTATAGTACCACCTAGACATAAGAAGAAAACTCTATGGCACGAAAATTGATAGCATATTTTATGTAAGTGCAATTTGTAAATGTCTGATTTGGACGATTTAATTAACTCTTTTGAAAGTATTGAGATAAACGATAATAGCTCTGACTCCGCTTCAAATACAGAAGTGTTAACTGATCAATCTAATAATCAATTATTTTGATTCGCTTTATTATCTGGGGTGTATTAATATTTACGCTTTTACTATAGAAATTAATTTTGATATTTATTATGTCTAATACGTTGCGAGTTTGTCATTTAAATATAGCCTCATTGCCATTGCATTTTGATAGGTTTGCAGACCTTATTCTAGAAGAATCCTATGATATTGTAGGACTTAGTGAAACCAACTTAAAACCACATATTCCTAGTAGTGTTGTCCAAATACCAGGCTACAACTTTTACAGATGGGATCGAGTGGGTAGAGATCGTGGTGGGGTGGGCTTTTATATCAAAAATACAATAAAACATGAAATACTAGACTGCTATCATGACGTAATTGAATGTCTTTGGGTAAAAATAAAGCTAAATGAGGCAAAAATTTTAACAATAGGTTGCATTTACAAACCCCCAAACTTTAATCCAAGTCGCTTTATAGACGAGTTAGAAAATATTTGTCTAGATATTCTGCCTCAAATTGACCACTTGATTTGCTTTGGGGATGTTAATTTGAACCTTTTTGATATAAGTGAATATGGTGTTCGTTCATATTTAGATTTTTTAGACTGTCTGGATTTGGAACAGATCATAAATGAGCCAACTCGAATAACTCCAACCAGTCGAAGACTGATTGACCACCTGTTGGTTTCTAAAGACTTAAAGGTCATCAGTTCAGGCACTATTGATGAAAACATTTCTGATCATAAATTAATTTTTGCAGATGTAGAGCTGCGAACAGAAAAAAGTCGAGTTAAACCAACCAGATACAGAGATTATAAAAATATAAATTTAAATTCTTTATATGCATCCCTTCAATCTATACCCTGGCGACACATATTCGATCTAGATTCAATTGATGAAAAAGTGTCCTTCTTTAACCAAAATATGTTTGCTTTACTAGATATATATGCGCCACTAAAAACAGCTAAATTTAGGAAACAACATTTGCCCTGGATAACTGAGAATACTAAACTATTGATCAAATTGAGAAATAAAGCCAAATTCAAATATAAAATTTCCAAAACTCCAGAAAGTCAATCGCGTTATAAAGAGTTGAGAAATTTTACGAACAAGGTAGTTCAAAACGAAAAGAAAGCATATCTTGAACATACATTAAATGGTAAAAATAGTAAAAATTTTTGGAAATCTTTAAAAAACCTAAATATTATCAATAACAAGGATTCCAAAAATAAAATTCCAGACCACCTCTCTGATCCCAATCAAATTAACAACTTTTTCATCAACTCCATTCCACCTTTAGGGTCACTTTCGCCTGATATAAATGAATACTATAGTAATTCCCCGCATACTAGCAACAGTTTTAAGTTTTCCTTGGTTACAGAAACGCAAATAGGACACTATTTGACGCAGATTAAAACGAGAGCAGCTGGCCATGATGGAATCCATATTAATTTCATTGTTTTTTGCTGCCCATTCGTTTTAAAATATATCTGCCATCTTATAAATTTTTGCATTACCCATTCTGTTTTTCCATCTGACTGGAAAATTGCGCACATTCTTCCTATTGCTAAAACCAACAATCCCCAGTCTTTTGGTGAGTTAAGACCCATCTCTATCCTACCAATTTTGTCAAAAGTTATTGAACGTGCCTTAAAGATACAAATAGTGGACTATGTTGAAAATAATAAATTAATTGATAAGACGCAAGCAGGCTTCAGGGCGGGACATAGCTGTGCAACTGCACTTCTCAATGTTACCGATGATATTTTTGGAGGGATTGATCAAGGTAAATGTACGGTGTTGGTAATGCTTGACTACTCCAAGGCATTCGACACAATTAGTCACCAAATTTTGCCTATCATTTTAAAATATCTTGGCTTTGACGTATCATCGGTAAGTTTAATGAATAGTTATTTGTCGGGAAGAAAGCAAAAAGTAGTTCTGAACGGCGTGGAGTCTCATTGTTTAGGAATAAATAGTGGTGTACCCCAAGGTTCCATTTTGGGTCCTATTTTATTCATTCTATATACTGTTAAATTTTTGGATGTTCTGCGATTCTGCAAAGGACAAAAATATGCTGACGACACGCAACTCTATCACGTTTTTGACCCCCTTCAACTTCGACAGGAATGCGCAAATATCAATAGTGACTTGGAGAGGATAGATAAAATATCTACAGATCATGCCCTCCTTCTAAATCCAAATAAGTCTGTTGTAATGTTCTTCGGTCGCCCCATTGATGTTAAGCGTTTAACTCCAGAGATCTCAATTCACATTAATAATAATCTTTTGCCTATAAAAACTGAGGCGAAAAATCTTGGTGTTATTGTTGACAATAAGCTTCGCTTTGATAAGCACATATCCTTCTGCACTCAAAAGGCTATCGGTCGACTAAAAGGGTTATATAATTCTAGGCATTTTCTCAATCAACAAGTGAAAATAATGTTGTGTGACTCTCTCGTTTTATCAGTATTTAACCATTGTGATGTAGTATACGGCTCTTGTTTAACAGCAGAGACTTCAAAACGCATAGAAAAAATCCAAAAATGCTGTTTGAGATTTATATATGGTATCCGTCGTCGGCGACCTGTTAGCCACAAGCTTAGAGTTGCAGGTTGGGTTGACATGAAAACTAGACGCTTGATTCACAGGACTTGCTTATACCATAAAATAATCAGATATAGATACCCAGAATATCTTTTTGAAAGAATTACATTTAGAACAGATGTAAATAATCTCAATTTAAGGTTTAATAATGTTATTATTCCAAGACATCGATGTGGCATTTTCGAAAGATCTTTCGGTTATGACCTTGCTAAAGTCTATAACGGCCTCTCCCCATCCCTTCGAAACGGCTCGACTCTATCTCTGTCGGGAAAAATTAAAAAACTTTATCTTCACTAAGTTTCATGTGTGTTTATTTGTGTTTATTTCTCTCGTAAAGGACCACAGATATTAGGGTGAATCTTTTATCTTTTTTTTTTATATATGGTATCATCTTTTATTGAAATTAGCATTAAAACTTTTTTATTTTATTTTATTTTTTCTTTAACAATGGAAACACTGTCATGTTTTATACTTTATATTGCGTTTTAGAGAAACTTTATTGATGTAAGTACATTTCTTGGTTTTGCAAAATGTATTATAACTTCGTAATTAGTTGTATTGTTAATTTGCTATTTTTCTAATGGAAGATTTCAATTTTTAAATTTGAAATTTCATATTTTTAAATAGGGTTATTTAAGAATGCGTTGTTTTTTTTTTAAGGATAAGTGTAGAAATCAGCAAGCAGATTCGTCTGGGCGCTGCACTCTTGCCTTTTCTTGTAATTTGAATTACTTGAATAAAGATTATTATTATTATATTATTATTATAATTAGAAACTGAAGGTAATATTGATCAATTAGAAAGTGAAAATAATATTTTACCTATTGATAGCTCAAACTTAGATTTAACTGCTTTTGCACAAACTATAACGCTTTTGCGAAGTCAACAAAATTTAAACTTTTCTCCTTTAAATATTGCTACAGTAAATTTACCAGTAACTATGGCTCAATTTAAACCCGAATATTTAAGTTGTGTCCCAAAATTCGAGGGAAACCCTTGCGAGCTAAACAGATATTTAGCGACTTGCAAATCTCTCATAGATAATTTTTATGATACTGTAAATGTAAATTGTTTCCAAAATATATTTTTAATAAACTCTCTTATAGGTAAACTTTCTGGCAATGCTAGATTAGTGGTTAATGTTCAGAATGTCTCCACCTGGGACGGTCTAAAAAATACATTGACTAGACATTTCGCGGACAGACGCGACGAGTCTTGTTTGAATAGAGACCTTGTTTTAACCAAACAAAATGCTAACGAGACCCCTCAATCTTACTATGATAGAATTCTCAAATTACTTAATTTACTCTGCAGTTACGTAGATGCTCACGACGATGTGGCTACTGCCCAAATAAAACGAAATTTTTATACAGAACTTGCTTTAAAAACATTCTTGGCCGGTTTAAGAGAACCTTTAGGCAACACAATTCGTTGTATGTCACCAAAAGATTTAGCTGATGCCATACAACTTGTTATTCGAGAGAGTAACACAAAATATTTCCAAAATCAACCCAATCATAATAATAGCAATGCAAATCATACAAAACCAAAACCTCAACAACATCAATTTCGATTTAATGGTCCAACCAGAAATTT